GGGCATTCCGCTAAATCAGCAAAAATCATAACCCATAAAATTTTCACAAAACGGAAATTTCATCGATATTCATTCGAGCGAAAGCTACATTGGCAAGGGATCAAAAAGATACATGAATGATTTCAAAAGGCGACTTTAGCATCTTCATCTAAGGTACAACCTGTTTGCACATTTTGCAACGTCAAATTAGAGATCGAATTTAAATGACTGTGACAACAATTCCTAATTTTTCATACACAGGGCATTCCGCTAAATCAGCGAAAATCATAACCCACAAAATTTTCACAAAACGGAAATTTCATCGATATTCATTCGAGCGAAAGCTACATTGGCAAGGGATCAAAAAGATACATGAATGATTTCAAAAGGCGACTTTAGCATCTTCATCTAAAGTACAACCTGTTTGCACATTTTGCAACGTCAAATAAGAGATCGAATTTAAATGACTTAATTCCCGGCGAGATGTACGATATTCTTTGTCTTTGCGTTCATGATCATACAAAACCACCTTCGATTTTCTCGAAAGTGGTTTTTCCAGTTTCATTTATTCATGTTTCACTTCCGGTTTGCGGACAAGACTAACGGGTGGTGAAAAGGTGAATTCTCGGAAAATCTACAAGGCGAGGAAAATATAATAAATCAATTCGATTATCTTAGTGGATACGTACAGGCTCATTTTCTAACGACTTCTTACGTTCCCCGATGTGCTACCGGCCCTAGATGTAATTTGGATATATTATTTGAATTGTTGTAGCTTTCTTGTGATCTTTTCAGGATCTGAATTAACAGATAGAAACGGAATGGGATGGAGAGCATTCTTATCGGCTCCAGGCTCCACTGACAGATTTCAAGAGCAGAATCACAGTGATGGACATCAGCAGGATCGTTTGATATTGTCCGAGAGACATAATCGACAAAGACGTAACGCCGTGACGGTGTTTACGATGGAAGATGTTTTAAAATCCAACAACTTTCAAAGTTTTCTAAACACTCACTCGGCGAGAACAAGGTCGAGGACTTCCGAGGAATAGTTTTTTTATAAAAAGGAGAAAAAAATGACCGTCGTCCAATTGTTACAAATTTATCAGTAACCGTCTGTCAAGAGAGCTTCCGATTGGTACATCAGAGCGGGTACATTTGTAATGTCTTAAACTGCTTAAGTCTGACATCGAAGGCCTTTCAATCAATTTCATAATTGTTTTAATATTAATTAATTAATTAGTGCTATGTTTCACAGAATCAATTATAAGAAGCCCAATATCTTGGTCTCCAAAGCTCCAATAAGCGCCCTCTTGATAATAAGCCCCACTCCTCCACCCCCTAAGCAAAAACTTTAAACTTTTTTGAACTTTGTGATTCATTTAGGGCATGCAACGTTTCGGTAAATAATAATCGTGCATATAAAAGGCTCTGTTAATTTCCATTTTAGCTGTAGGGTGATAATATATACTTGTCTAACATCGACAAAGGAAATTATCGCATAACCAGGAAACTCTTCACTGAATTACCAAAGAAATGTATCTATCTGAAAATAAGAGATGTTGTAGCACTAACAACAACGAAGTACATGGAACTGATCTACTGATGAAGGAAAGCTAAAACTGAAAAATTGATCAATTTGCCAATGAATGAGGCAGAACTGTAGTTTTTAAAACCTACAGGAATAATTGAAACTGAAGTAACTGTCAATGTAATCAAATAATATTAACATATCAGCATACAAACCGTGCGTGCTGTTGGTGAACAACAATGTATGGCAAACTAATCCCCGTATCGGGAGCCTTACGCGGGGCGCGAGTGGGGCCGTAAAGATCCTTACGGCCCCACGTACAGTTCGTGAGCTGCAAAATGCAAGAAGCAAGGTAGAAGTGAAAGAGCAGCGGTAATGTGATAAAATGCTTAATGGTTGGTAAGGTCGGAACCTCGAGTCAAATAAATTTCTGTCCGACCGTCTCGGTCAATAATTTTAGCTTAGAGTATTTTTATGATATTTATCAAATCAAGAAAACGGATCCAAATGTTAAGCTTGATAACTTATGTAATAGGTTTTTTAAAACTTCCTGTTCGAGTCTCAACATGATTATCCAAATTTCACGTATATGCACTAAAACATTTTCCAATTTTACATATGATCCACCTCAGATGGTAAACAGATGTTATGTTTCACTCATTTTTGTGCAAGTTTTGTTCTTTTTATTAAGTAGTTTCATTTTATTGACTGAAATGAAGCAGATTCCATTTGTTTGCCAAGGTTTGGATATACAATTTTGTAAATATTGTAATAAGAGTGCCCTCTTTTTTTTGCTGATACTTTTTCATTTTTTTTAAATTTTAGATTTCAAGGTTTCTAGTGTTGTAAATATTTGTAAAATTGTATAATTATTTGTGTGAACTGATGTAACTCGCCGAATACCAGTTTGGTTGATTGGTAATAGAAAAGAAAGGCTTGAAAAAAAATTTATGTAAAGGCTTTTATTAATTGCGTCATTTAAGTGAAGGAATTTGTCCAATTGATTATTTGATTTGCGCAGTGGATTTGGCGATTGATGGAACCTCTTCCAAATTGTTCCAATGCAAGGAGCTTAGAGCCAAGGAAATTATAGGGGAAAAAAGGTGAAAACACACAACACACACACACACCCACACGCATATAGATGTCCGTATGGTTAACAGTGCAAAACACCGATGAATATAGGAGTATATTACCAATTTCGGCACGATAGGCGAACGGGAAATACGAGAAAATGCGTTGGAATCACCGCATCCGGGTGGTGAATCGCCGATAACAACGCGTTTTCTCAAAACAAACAGCTACAAACGCCAGAAACATCGTATTTCTTTATTTTGACCGACCCGTGAACGTTATACGACACGCAGTTTTCATGCGAAACCTGACAGCAGGAAGTTTGCTATAAACGTCATTTTTAACTCGTGAATTGCGCGCATGCGCAAGAGCGAGTTATAGATGCGATATGAGGAATGGCATTCGCTCGCTCGCTCGCTCGATTGGTCGATTCCTGTAAACTTTTTTTAGATTTCAGGCTTTTGGGTGCATTTTATAGTTTTTGGCGAGCAATAAACAGACGAAATGGCGACCTTTGTTGCTAAGAATAGTGGTGGGGTGAAAAAGAAGCCAATGATAATCTTAAAAGAGTTTTTTTTTTTTCATTTTAGTTTCAACAAGCGGCGCCAGCGACTGGCAGGCATGCAAGGATTCACACTGAAATAACAGAACAACCTTCGTTTTTCATAAAATTGTAATTTACAATCCTTGAACTTGAAAACAATCCGAAGATTCATTGAAAATATCACTTACTGCGAAGCGCTCGGAGTTTATAGATGTTCAAAAGCTTTTTCTGTTATAGCGTGAGATTGAGGAAAAAATTGATCATTACGTTTCATCGCGTGTGTTTTTCCTGTGTGAAGCAACAGAAGATGCCGGCGACTGACGAAATAACAAGTTAACACGAAAATCAAATAACACCTAAACAAACAATTTTAGCTACCGATTTTCAGTGAATTTTTAAAGAACAATTTTCTTTTAAGTTTCAAGACAATTTGAAGATTCAACATAAATACAACGTACTAAAATGCGAAAGTTACACACCACAAAATTGATAAATAGGCCTGAAATGAAATTCTATCTTGTTATTGATTATACGTTGCCTAGCACGTGACTTAAATCTACCCAGGCGGAGATCCAAAATAACGGTGGCAGGCTTGGCTTAGCTATATCACTCAAAACTCGTTCCCGTTTGTCTCATTTGATAAAGAGGGAATCGTTAATGTTTTCATTAAGACAGTATTGCCTTGATTTTCTAATATTTACAACGAAAGACAGTAAATTTCACTTTTCACCCACATTTACTTCCAACCTTTTCTTTTGAACCAGAAACAAAAATGATAGACGTTTAAAACACATGACATCATCCACCTTGTCAAATGTAATAGCATGATCATTTCAATTGTAATGCCTTCTTATCCCAACGTTACTTTGTTTCTTTGCTACATTAGCGAACACTGAACTACTGCTCGTACTCTAGATATGACAATCAACCACAAAATTCCCTAAACCAGATAACATTAAACATAATCTAAAAAATCATGTGTCAATTCACGAGTTTGCTCACAGAGCACTTTGATTAATCTCTCATATATTAGAAAAGAACTGGGTCTGAGGATAGTAAATGCAAAAGACGCGGGTACCATGCAATGAGCTCGTGACGTCACGAATCACCCGTTAGCTACCTGGCGGCTCTCAAACTTCTGCTATAGATTCTAATTATTGCTGTTATTTGTAACATATATGGATTTTTCAGAAAAGATAGTACACGTAGATAACGAAATTTTTCACGAACACTTGACCGTGCGGCATAAGCCTGTTTTTACACTAGCCTACCCTGGTTGTTTATGATGAGAGTCGCCAGTCGACTCAACCGATTTCGGGTTCGGTGCGTTCATCTTGTTTTCTGCGGAATAATCTTTTGTGCTATTTATATTGTTTTGTATCGAGATCTTGGAATAAGCTTACCGGCTGCAGAGCTTGACAACAAACCGGTCGAAGTTCCGTTAAGGTACGTTGAACTTATGACAAAAACAGATAGGGCCAGGGAGGGTTGTTTGGGTGTGATCACTGAAACGTTTATTTTAGATGTTGTTATTGATCAAAGTAATTGCTATAACTGTTTGGTGCTTGAGGTGAACTCACTTTACATTCTTCTCTGGCCTCATTGAGACTGATGAAGTTAATTGATGACAAACTGTTAACTTTATTACCGACCAAGTTTAATTAAATCGATACGCAGCTTCCATTGAAAGTTTCTGATGAACTCAAACTAATGCTGGTAACCTGTTTCCCTGAGGCGGACCAGGTCCAAGACTATGATTTAGTGGGCGAGACAACTCAAACCATCACTAGTAGTTAGAGTAATGACACAGTCAATGGCACTCAACTGGTCCCAATAAATTACCTACATTCTTTCATGCCGTTCTAGGCTGTTTAAATGTGAGATCGAAGATCGGGAGATGAGAGGTCTGGCGTCTGTCTTTCCTCTTTAATAGTAAGATGACCACAGGATGTTTCGAAAATATGGGGCAAATAGTTTTTAAAAGGTGAAATTTAGTATGAAAAAGCTAAACCAGACGTTCAATGTAATTCATTGCGTATTAAAGTGACCTTTAGTAAATAATTCTTTATCAATGTTCAGATGAACCATCAGTCGTAAGTAAGAAGCAATATTTTTAAAATAAAGTATTGTAATAACATTACGTTGCAACATTATCCAAAACAATATACAATCAATATCGTTTTTTTCTGGGCCAGGTTCCGAATTGCAGATGGTTGGGTGTGGAAAGACGACATCGACTATAGCGGAACAGTTCGAAACATGATAAACACCAACGTCATAGACAAACCAGAATCTAACCAATCAAACAACGAATTACCTCCATCAGTTGCGCAAGATACTGGACTGGACTACGGGCAAGGACGGTATCTTGAATTGGAAGGTGTGGAAGATTATATCTTGTGGCAAAAAGGATACATGGAGCCCACCAAAAAACAAGTCAATAGAAAGTGAGTGTCAGAGTTACCTTCAAACACGTAAGTCTCATGACAATTGCTCGAGTCCTTCGCGTTACGTCTATCAACCACTGTCAGCACTTTTTCATGCTCTGAACAGCTTTATTGACCATAAATATTTATGAGTAGGAACGTACGGCGACTTGTGTCATTCGTGCTTTGACCTACCAAAGAAATTCGTGGTCTCAGTTGAGTAATATTATACGGAATTTCTTATCAATGCATTGTAGTACAGCACAGACTTGGAGTTGTTCGGTTTGCTTGTTAATAAGTGCCTTTAAGATGGTTTAACTGTCAATCAGTTAAACCAGCTTCAGTTACAAGGTTGCCATTGAGCGATTTTGCGCATCTTCTTGTTAAGTTCTCTAGTTGGAGCTCCTTCTCTGAGTGTGAGTATTCTCGTTGAATCATTTGCCAGAGTTTAACCTCAGATATTCCTTTTATAAATATTGTAGAATCCGTAGCTGTAAGAAGGCAATCCAGAATGTTCTTTTCCTCAAGACACACTATACAGGAAGTGACATCGTTGCCAATATCCTAAATCGATTCGCCGATTTACGGAACCTGCGCATTGCCCTACCTAGCGGAGGACTGTCGACATTTTATTGGCCTTCAAGATTCCACTGGAAATATGTGGACATCATGTTATTGGACGGAACCCTCCCCAACATACTTTGCAATCACGCTCGTTTTAATGGTGACGTCATGGATGAGATTATGCAATCGCAGACAGCTTTCATTACTATATTACGTGACCCGGTGTCTCATTTTGAGGTGACGTTTCGAAACTTGGATTTTCAGGAAATCCTAGAAATTGGAGATCAACAATATCCTTTTCTGAAATTTTTGGAAAATCCTCGAAAATACATTGGAAGAGCCATTCAGCGCAAGAGATTCAAGGTAAACTTTCGTTCATAATGCCTTATGATGTTGTCTCCCCAGCGAGTTTGCTTACCCAGGATATTTTTAATGTTTGGCTCATATACGATCAGCTAGTTGTTATAAACTGATTCAATGATGAAGGATCATTTTCAAAGTGTTCCCATCTTCCTACATACATTTCAAACATACACTGTTAGGTTCCAGGCGTAACAGGCATTGTCAGATAAACTAACTGGAAATATCACTCAAAATTTGAATACGAGCCCATCGGAGCCCGCTCGTCGGATGAATTTACCCAGTCTGGTGATAGAGAAAACACAAGCGGCCAACACAAACATGAGCACTACACAATTAAATATTCTTTATGACGGCCCGATATAAGTGCGTAACACATTGACAAGCACAATGCACATGTTACATAGCTCTTTCTTTAATCCACAAAGCAAAACGGCATACTCAAAGCTCAACACAGACTGACGTAATACACATATTATACCTTGCTATTGGAAACATGAGGAGAGACAGCCCGTTACAATCGTGCAACACAGACAAGCGCGATATAGATGTAAAAAAACATTTCATACAATAAGCGACAAGGACGCTGATGACTGCCCTGAACTCACGCACGACTCTCAGGATCTGCAGAGTTCCTCTCAGAAACCGGAAATCGACCCATGTACGTGCGGGATGGGAAAATACAGCATAAAGCTTGGCGGGATTTTGGATATTACCGCTTCCCTAGCCCAACCTTCACCAAATTTGAGTTCGTAGTGACAGATTCTTTTGCTTTTCTGTCGGAAAACGAGTAATCGTCATGACCCGACTAAACGTTCCTTTCTGTCAAATCGAGGTACTAAGATATAACACTTATTATCATCGGCTTCAATACACGAATGTTACGATTAGTTCAGTTTTGGTACTTTTTTGACTTTTGTATTAGCATCCATACTGACTTGCTGTGTTTTGCAGGATTCTCTGAATCTCATAAAAAATGGGATGTTCTTCGATCTTGGACTCCGAACCACGGATTACCACAAACCAGAGATGGTACGAGACGCCATATTAGATATTGACGATAAATTCACCCTGGTACTTATCTATGAATACTTGGACGAATCACTGGTGATGTTGAAGAGAAAATTATGCTGGGAATTAGATGATGTTGTATATCTTAAGTTTCATTATCAACTCCATGGTGGAAGAACCCACCAGAATACCAGTGGTAACATCACTGAACAAATTTACCGCTGGAACAATGCAGACACGATGTTGTATCAATTCTTTAACGAGACACTTTGGAACGAGATCCGTCTCGAAGGAAAAGAGTTCTTCGAGGAACTCCACGAGTTTAGAACTAAACACGAAGAAATGGAGCATGATTGTCTAGGAAAGTCGATGAATTTAGCAAAAATACAGTTGAACCAGGCAGTTTCGTCGCTGAATCGATATCTGTGCGAAAAGATGCTCTATCGAGATATAGAATATTTGCATTACTTTCGACGAAAGATGGAAAATAACAAAAGACGAACACCAACCAACAGTATTGGCTCGGGGAATGGGTCTAGTACAATTCTAACACAAGGAAGTGCAGTAAAACCCCCCTTACAAAGAAACGAGACAGACACAGGTTCGGTTTCAAAACGATAACTGAGATGCCAATGTCGCTGTAAGTGGTACATTTACACGATACAACAGCACTGGTACTAAAGAGGAAAAAACCGAGTCAATATAAATAATACTGCTCAACCGACTATGGATCAAATTTTTGTTGGTCACGATCAAAGTTGTAGTACACTGACTACTCGTACCAAATGTGCTTCACTGCGAAATTGCCGTGTTGCTGTTCTTGTTCCCAAATAACTACATATGGATTTTTCGATCTCTCCATTTTTTGGAAAATCCCCATTTATCAAACAACAGTCGTTTTATTGAACGTGCATCAGGCAGACACTCTAGTTCTAACCCCTCCTAAAATTTAAAACTAATTCCTCCTCCTCCTTTCAAACAATTAACTGAAATTTCTCGATATTTCAAAATTCAAGAACCTACACAAACCGGTTTTACTTATCAGCACTCCTGGAAGAAAATAACAAGTTAAAGGCGAAGTGTTATAAAGGTGTTCTCATCACAAAGAAAATGACAAGTCTGCCAAATTCAGTTCCAGTTCCAGGCAATCAAGTGATATTGTAACAGTTTTGGGTTTAATAACACCAGGACTTTTGAGTTCATATAACCCTTAACTTAAATGATAGGTAACTGAAAGTTAATATAAATTTGTGGGACGGAGAGAAAAGACTTTTAAAATACACTGGATCAAGAAGCCCTCTTATAAAAGGTTCATTAAAGTGCAAAAAGCGTTGTCTCATTTTCTTCAGTCTGTTGTAGCTGATCCTGAACACTGGCTGGAGCCAGCTCTAACTGACAGTGTTCAACACCATCGCTTGGCGCCGCGCTGCTAATTTGCAAGAGTGCTTTACTATTGACAAGGGTGTTATCAAAAGTTAGAAGCTCATTGGTGTGATCTTGACCTGTGTAGCTTAATTTTAATTGTTCTGTTGCAATTGTTGTGAGTTCTGTTTTATCTCTTGAAGCTACATCTTCTCCTACAGGACCTTCTACGTTAATACTACTCAGGGGTACGTCCTCAGGCTGTATGGTAGGCCTTGGTTCTTGATTTAACTGTGCATTTTCTGAGTCCTTCTGGTGCATACTATCTATAGGCACCTGCAAATGTTTTCCGTTTTCCGTTATCTGTGTTTGCACACCCAGCAATTTTTCCGTTCTCTCTCCGCAAGTTCCCTGTCCTAAGGCTACACTATGCAGGACTCCTAGCTGCACGTCATTGTCTGTTCCAGGCCGAACATCCGTCTGTATCTCTCCATCTCGGAAATTTTTCTTTTGCTTTTCTTGTCTCATTTCCCCGCCTGAAAGCTTGGCTTGCCTTCTTTCGTGGACTTTCAAGTGGGCTTTGACCGAGTTTGGCTGGGTAAACCCTTTCCCGCACAACTCACACTTGAACGGTTTCTCTCCAGTGTGAATTACCTCGTGCCTGTTTCTGTGCGAGATCATTGTGAAACACTTGTCACAATGAGAACACTTATAGGGCCGCTCACCTGTGTGACTCCGGAGGTGGCTGATGATATCTGAGCTTCGTTTAAAACCTTTGCCGCACTGAGGACAAGGGTAAGGTTTTTCACCGGTGTGAGTTCGCATGTGAGTGCGCAGATTTGCACTTAACGTGAACCCTCTGTCGCATATGGAACACTTGAACTTCTTCTCCAGTGGTTCCCCAGAGTGTTTGCGCAGATGAAGAGTAAGCTTTCCTTTCTCTACAAACCTCTTGCCACATTCTTCGCATCCAAACGGCTTCTCTCCACTATGTACGCGTAGGTGTCTCTTTAGGGAGGACAACTGGGAGAGACGCTTATCACAAAAAGAACACACAAATTCCTTGATTTCCGAGTGACTTCGCATGTGGTAATTTAGCTGAGACTTCCACTTAAAGTTTCTGGAGCATTGCTCACAGGTGAATATGGGTTTATCTGCAGGCACGGTCCTTTTCCTTTTCTTCACCTCACCTGCGGTTGATCCTTCGTCTCCTTCGCTTGTTCTTTTCCGAGACGAGGGAGATTTTGAATTGTTTAGTTGTTTTTCTGCTTCTTCAGACTTTGATTTCTTTGTGGATTCATTTATTTCCTTTCCTGAAGATTCTTCCCTTACTAACACGTCCTCATTGGCATCACTGGAACTTCTCATGCTATTAGCAGACATATCACCTTTCGCTTTCGAGTTTCTGGTGTTTTTCTGGACTTGGGATTTATCTGATCCTGACGATGTTTGCTTCTTTTTTATAACATCTCCGCGGCGGGAATTTGTAGTCCTTTTCGCTCCACGGGAAGTTCTCTCAGAGGACAGGGATTTCTTACCAGACGATGCACTTCGCGCTTTTGTAGTATTTGAAGAAACTATTTTCTGAGCCTCCGCTACATTTGATTTCCTCGAGTTTCGCTTTGCTTTTCTCGTGTTCTGCGCGAAGGGATTTCTTTTGGTTGCGCCTTTTGTTGTTGCAGCTTGCTTTACTGCTTTTCCTCCTCGGTTTGAAGATCGTGAGCTAGATGCGGGCTCCAGCTGGAGCACGCGGACATAACGTGAACCTTCCTCGACAACCGTACTGTTGGTTCCATTGATTGTGGTCCCAATGTCGACAACATACAACGACTCTGCATCTCCAGGCGATGTACTAACCTCGTTAATAGTATTCTCAGTGACAGACGATTGCGCGGGCTCATACTCTATAGCTGTCTGGTCATGCACAGTAATTGTCTGGTTAGGCGATAGGCCTGGACAGCGAACTGCCTTGTGACGTCGAAGAAAGGTTGACCCAGCGAACACCAACCCACAAGTATTACAGTTATAATCATGACCTGGACAGAGAAGAACAAAGAAAAATTGGAATGAAAATAACTTAAAACTCCGTTTACATTAAGAAATGTTGCGAAAAAAAGTGAAATAAAGAGAAAGAAAGAAAAATGAAGAAAAAGAGAGACAGAGAGAGGAATTATGACAGTCAAATCCGAACAATTTACAAAACTATCAGAACTATCAAAACTACCACTATAATTGCAACTCAACAGTAATAAATGTGTAGTATTGTTAGGATTTAACACATCAGTAAAGATACGAAAGATGACCTGGTTAAATTCCAATCAAATGAAGGCAACAATCACGTAACAAAGAGAACGGAGTATAACTTTCACTGAACTAGAAGATTCTCATATAAGGCTGGAAATGTAAAAATGGAGTGTGATTTCGAGTCAAGTAGTCCATATCCTTGTGGCTGATCTCCGTTTCCCTCACAGTTTACTGGAGCAGTGTGAGCATTCATACCCATTCATACCCATTCATACCCATTCATACCCTTGGCTGGAGAAAAGCATTGTGGGAGTGCGGTGTTCTTCCCAGGAATACAACATATTGAACCACTAAGAGTATAAGCACAGACACTTCAATCTGAGGTGTCTATGTAGAGGCCGTTAAGACACTGAAAGCACACTGTAAATGACGTAGACTTGAAGAAACAGGGTAATATCTTAATCTAAATGAATTTTATACGCCTTTGGTTAGTTCTAACTAATGATCTCTTGGAGGAAAGACGCATAGATGACGTCACCATTTACAACAATATGCCTTTTTAACCCATAAAATGTACATGTAGGTTCCATGTCACCGTGGTTCTGTACAATAATGGATCACAGACGTCAAAATGTGGCAAAAATATTAGTGACACTCTCAGCTGCGCCTCGCGCGCTACTTCTTTGTTCCTACCACATTTTGACGTCATCTGTGCTCTAATTAACAAATAGATTCCAAGTTGCCGTGCGTCTGTTCAGTAATAGGTCACAGAGGACGTCAAAATGTGGTAAGAACAAAAAAGTGGCACACGAGGCGCAGTCGAGTGTGTCACCGATGTTTTAACCACATTTTGACGTCCTCTGTGATCTATTACTGAACAGACGCACGGCAACTTGGAATCTATTTGTTTTATATGATAAAGAATTTAAAAAAAGTTTTAATGATGACGTAATCTATACGTCTGTCCTCCAATAGATCTTAAGTGAGAACCAATCAGAATGCGTGCATTAAACTGAGCTTATTATGTAATTTGAAATAGACACACGGTAACACAGAATCAATTTTTATTTGTAAAATACACTTTTTCAAACTTAACTTAAACAATGTGATCAAATCTATTCAAGGAAACATTTTACTCACCATCCCTCTGAGCTAAACTGTCAACCTTCACTGACAAACTGTCACCATACCACACCAACAGCTCAGTGCCAGACTCCACTGGACTGCATGTCTTGTAGTAAATCTCACCACGGAACTGCACAGCCACTAAGTTCTGTTCTTCGCCGTCGCGTGCACAGTTGACAAACTTCATCCAGTTGCTGTTCTGTTCATCTGAGCCATCAATTACTTGACTGACTTTTCCACCTTCAAGAATCTAGGAAGTAATTTCTAACGATCAGTTTTCGCAGGTTTCTTAGTTTTTTTAAAGATATTTGTATGGAAGAGGCACCATGGCCAGATGCTTAGAAACCTGTCCCTGTTGATATTCTATCGTTGGGCAGTGTTATCTCCTGAATAAATCATAACCTTGTCAGTAGGTACTCAAAACCAAGCTACAGACACACATTTGCAAAAGAGTTAATCCATGAAAGTGGGCGAGTGCAATTTGTGGTCTTTGAAAAAATTAACAAGTGCTTATTTATTCCAAACTGTACGAGGAAAATCATGTGATTACGTATTAATAATATACATGAAAAAACACGAAATAGCTTATCATAATTACGCAGAAGCAAAGCGCGCGCATCAAGTGCAAAAATAATTTATTCAAACCTGTGCATTCTGTCAAAACAACCGCGTACGATCAAAATAATAATATACAATGATATTGTCACATCCATAAGGCGCAAAGAAGTTAAAAGTCCGCCTAATCAGTTCAAGGAATTGTTCAGTCTGTTTCAGAATCACTTTCGATGGAATGGAATCGTCGTTTGTGACGTTTAACCATGTTTGTTTTTAACTTCGGCGTAGAATCGCTTGAGCAAAGTGTTAAGCTGGATCGGCTCGTAATTTTGATTTCCTTGGCAATTCCCTTCTCTAAACACCACTTTTTATAAACCGACAACCAAAAAGCAGTGCTTTTTACATTATTTTCGTTGTTAGAGCTGCTTTTCAGCTGCTGTATTGTTGTTGCGGTGGCGAAAGAAAACTTACTTGAAACGACGGCCATTGTTTCGCTTGCAAAATTTCAGCGTAGCCAAATGTTGCGACATCTAAGATTCGCATTTGATTGGCTATCTGTGAGTTTCTTTGATTATAGACCAATCAGAAAGTCTGGTTTGTTACTTTCTTTGCACTGAATTAACCCTCTTCTGCATTGAATTAACTGAAAACTGCATTAACCAATTAGAACTGAGTAATTTTTTCCTGTATGTTATTAGTGCTCAAACAATGAGTACCAGTTTCAATACTTCCCTAATAATTTACAGTATCCACCTGAGTTTGGGCACGACTTATTTCTTTTCACGTGGTGTTGTTTCCAGCAGTTGTAGGTTCACAAAGTCTTTGTCTGAACAAAATAGTTATACCTATACCTTCCCTAATAATTTACAGTATCCACCTGAGTTTGGGCACGACTTTCTTCTTTTCAAGTGGTGTTGTTTCCAGCAGTTGTAGGTTCACAAAGTCTTTGTCTGAACAAAATAGTTATACCTCTGTCTCTGTAGGTACGCGTTGACTGCTAAGAGTCTCCGGTAAGGAGGGAGGTGTCAATTTGTGTGCAGTTATGCAAAACTTGGAAACTGTTTCATAGTTTCCACTTCTAACGCTCCTACCATGAGCTTGACAGGGGCAGAAACATGACTGGGGCATGGGTTTTTCTATTTATTTCACTCTGTAGTTCCTCACAATAGTGGAGACATGTGTCGTTTTTCTCAGCCTCTGGCCTTGGTTGTTAGATTAATGGATAATGTTACAGCTGTATCCATGAAATGGACAGCCATTCAGCAGAAAGGAGTCTATGAGGATGCTTTTAATTTGTTAACACTTTGACCCCTGAGAGTGATAAGCATCTAATTTCTCCTTACAATATCACCCCTGAATCACACATTGGGGTCACAAGAATAAAGGAAATGATCACCAAGTTAGGATGCTCTTGAATTTTAAACAAATTCTCCTTGTCACCAACCTTAGGAAACATACAGAGAACAGTATGGAGAATATGCATACTGATATTAGGGTGTAAAGGGTTAGTTAGTGATTCATCTTGTCCGATGCATCATTCAGCCTTTAAGGGATTAGTTCTTTTTCTTTTTGTTGATCAGGGTCAATTTGTTGGATGGTGGGTATGGAAAAAGCAATGGCCATCAGGAGATAAGTTCCCATAAAAGTAACTACTCTTTCCACCAGCAAGCAATTTATCCTTTAAACAGATTTATCTACCCTTTCCAAGGCTGAGGCCAGCAAAAACTTAGATGGTGCAGATTAATGCGACTATACTAGTTATAGGTATGGAATGCCATATTTAGTAGGAATTCCCCTTGGTCTCATAGGTACACCAGGTAAGAGGGGTCATTTCAATCTCATAAATGGTCATGAATGATCTTTCGTCATAGAAGAAACCCATTATTAGCCAATCACTGTGAATACATGCAAAGAACATTTGGGAGTTGAACCCATTAACCCATTATTAGCCAATCACTGTGAATACATGTAAAGAACACTTTAGGAGTCGAACAATAAAAGGACAATAAGTTATTATTGCATACTTACATCCCACATGTATTTAAAGTTGTGATCTTCTCTTAGAGGGAACTCTTTGGCAGGAATCTTCTGTCCTTTGAAGGGTCCAAAAATAACTTGTTTCTCCATCCTTGCCTTTGCAAACACACCCAGTTGGCCCTGCCACACTGCAGATGGCATGATGTTCAGGTTGTTAGGGAGGGTTAACTTAGCTTGGTCTCCTTTAGGTGTTTCATTTGACAGCTGGCTGTCACCATACCATTCCAATGGACCATGATCAGGACAATCACCAGAGATAAATTGTTTTCCACAGTCATCACAAACTAAAAGACATATAAAACTACTGCTTTTTCAAGTATCTCACTACAGTCTTAATTCAATTTTCCAGTACCTTATATAATGTATCACTGATACCAATGTTCTATGACAGTCTCTAAAAGTCTTTCTAGAGCAAAGGGGTTAAGTCTCTAAAGAAATTGTTAGAGTGATGAGGGCTAGGGCTCTAATGAAGGGCTAATGCTTGAGATGTCAGTTTTGAAAATCTTTGCAGTGGCAAGTTTTTGTTATCAACTGAGTTGATAATATTACATTACCCTTTCTAGAGCAAAATCATGCAAACTGAAATGTTACCTACAAAAGTGACCACGTTTAGAAAGCAATCTTAATGAATGTTTCAAGAATTAAAATTAATCTGATGTTCAGAGTAGGTTGCTTGATTAAAAAATTTTATTTTATTTCATCCCCATCTAATTTCAACATTCATCTGCATTCTCTTTTCATCTCCTCTATTTCAAAATTCCTTTTCAAAACTCACCAATATAGTCATCATTTTGACTAAAATCCATGGCTCATATAACTGAGAAGCAGATGTTTCTGAAAAGTGAAGTGACAAAATTATAAAACTCTTTTACATTTGTTTGGTAATGAATATAAATAAAATAATGATGCTTGTAACAGTCAAGGTAAATTAAAGGAACACATATAAGTTAGCAGAGCTGTAGCATGACCCTTTGCAATGGTGAAGATAACTCCTTTCTCCCATGGGCTTTGCCCAAAGAATCATTGATTCTTGTGATTAAATTTTTGTTTTTAAGTTTTGAGCCAGTTTATTTTATTGTTTTTAAATGTTTTGTGATCAACCCTTGCATCTGTGATAGCATCCCCCCATAAGTCAATAATGGACAATAACAATGAAAACAGTCAATGATAATAAATTGTTGATATTGTAGGATGTATCAAAAATACATCATGGAAAGTCTGGTATGGTATTTACATGCAATTTGTTTAAGTATCATAAATGTAATGAATAAGCCTGACAAATAAGTGAGATTTGTGATACAAAATGACAAGTACATAAATACCATACAGACAGACTCTTTCTGGTGTATTATGTATATTATATGGCTATGGAGATTCAATCATTGCTCAATGACTATTAATTGTTAAAAGATGTAATTTATACAAATTGTCTTGCTGATAGAAATAATGCAACACTACTGTCAGCTAGCAAAAAATTATGAAAATACCTCTTAATTCTCAAAACAAGGCATGACGGTTTATAATCTTCTCCATCTTTTTGTCAAACAGAGGGAATAAAATTATCAAGATAAATGTCTAATTTTTCTTTGCAGTGCAAAAATTCTTTGAAAATTTTCAAATCTTTCTTTGTTTTCTTTTTTTGTGCATTTTTCTGCAAGCTTTCTATTCCACATAATCCTTCACAAAAGTCTGGTAAGTGGCACATCTTTCCTCACTCATCTTTTGTAAGTAATTTGACCTAATAAACAGCCCTGAGGGTGGAATTTGATAAATTTTCCAAATGGTTTGAAAAGCAAAATGCTTCCAGGGAAGGTTGAAAAGAATTGCCTTGGTATGGTTTACATGTGAAGAAATATGAAACATAGCTTCTGAGTAGATGTATCATTTTCCTTACATGAGAAAAAAACCAGCTTGTGTATAAAAATTTATTTCATGCCTTTTCAGTGTGTAATATCACTATGTATAAAACAAAGCTCCACTTGAACATGTGAGAAGTGTAGCCTTAATGTGAAATGAGCCAATTACTGATTATAATTTATTGAACTGAACAACTACATCAGACATGTCAACCATTGGAAATCTGAAATATATATTGAGGCTCTGATTTGGGATGCAAGTCTCCCCACCCACCCTATTCCCCTGTAACTGCATGTGTAGGAGACCAGGAGATTTATCATCTAACCAGGAGTGAGAGTTAACGATTGCTACAAAGCTATCGGAGCAAATAGACAACAGGAAGCAAGAAAAGACCAAACGTAGCCTTAGATCATGTGAGAATAACCCATTGAGTAGGTGCACAGGTCTTTACTTTGGTATCAACAACAATATTCCCTTGGATGCAGAATATTAAAATACTTGAATTTCAAACGTAAAGAGGGACAAAATTTTGATTAAATTTGAGGAAAATAAGGATAAATTAAACTGTGTAAGTTGACATCGTACTCATTTTACTAAACTGAAGTGTATTACTTCGAGAAGAAATATCGAACTTCAAAATCTTACCGAATAATGATTATTTCATTTGCCCATAATTTAGTTTACATGACTGAATGTACCATTTTAAACCAACCAGCAACGTTATGCCTTGTGTAAGATAAATGTTCTAATCTAAAAATTCCACCACAGCGTTTATGCGATTTGTTACACTAGAATTTAATGCTTTCCTTTCCACATTTATTTTACAGTTGCAGTTCCACCGAACGAATTCGAATTTCGTATTGTTCGAAAGGTAAAGGGGCATGTTTCCAAGAGTTTGCATCAAATTAACCTAGGATTCCACCTCGAAATGTAGAAAACACATTAGAGAATTAAAATGAGCTTACCTTCAAAATATCTCTCTTCGGCAAGCCAACAACAGCAGCCAAAAACCCAAGTATATGTGCGAATGTCTATTCGAAATTCTTAACACACTCCGCGGACGCGTTCATGCGAAGTTGGCCGCGTGGAAACTAAACCCGAGTGCACAATTGCTGGAGGGGAGGGGTAAGTTAGTGCGGTTTCACTAGATGAGTAGAAGCCACAATGAAACAAACACAATTTTGTCGCGATGATTAAGGAACCTCATCAGAGTTACGTGAGGACCAGAAAACAACGAAATTACGACTATGGCAAAATTGTAAAACGCAAGAGGATTGCTTCTTTTAATTGGTTTTCTTACAATAAGAATATCGCATGTCAATACACAGCTACGGTCTACCAAAATATTCGAGCAATTGATTTCATCTCGGTAGTAATCACATGATTTCGAGCGCAATTAGGAATAAATTAGCACGACTACATTTTTTCAAATTGCACGATCCTGTAGGGTAAGTGCAATTTGTGGTCTTTGAAAAAATTCGCAAGTGCTTATTTATTCTAAATTGCACGAGAAAAATCATGCGATTACGTATTAATAATATACATGTAAAAATACGAGATACCTTACTATAATTATGCAGAAGCAAAGCGCGCGCGTCAAATGCAAAAATAATTTATTCAAACCGTGCGTTCGCTTAAACCAACCGCACACGATCACAACAATAACATACAATGGTATTTTTACATCTTTAACCAATCAGAACTGAGTAATTGTTTCATGTATCTTATTAACCTTATAATGTTTCTTCTGAGTTCACACATGGAAATTATCTTTAATAACATAGCTCACAAGAGAGGTTGTAAGAGAAGTTTGAACGTAGATTTGTTCGCTTTAAAGCCTATAATTAGATTTACATCGCAAATCGATGCGTTTCGTTTGCGAAATTCAATATTAAGTGACTGAATGGCGTATCTTACAAAAAATTGCAACTTTTCCACTTCAGTTCAATGTTATTTCGTTTAAATTGAAGCAAAATGAGTGGAAGAGGCGAAGGCTTTTGGTTTTTACTTTTTTATTTTTTATTTTATTTTTAAAGAGTTTCAAAGCTGACGTTTCGAGCGTTAGCCCTTCGTTAATCGTTCTGACGAAGGGTTAACACTCGAAACGTCAGCTTTTAAATTTTTTACGATGACCAATTTACGTTAACAACTCTGTTGATAATACTAAATTACCCAGATATTTTGATAATTGGAAATGAAACTTCAAGAGAGGGTATGAATAAGTTTACATAGACTCTTCACGGTCATGTTAACTGAGACAACGAGAAGTATTTTTCCAATTGCTCTATGACCGGATAAAATGCTTCACTGTCGTAATGTATCCCATCCATCGTTCCTGGTGGATATGAGGCGCTAATAGGATATACATCAAGAACACTTATACCACTTGCACACATGGCTGAGTTGGCAAACGCATTGTACAATTGGATCCTCTGAAAAGTGAACAAAAAGGTCGTCAAACTAATTACGTCATCCATGCATCAGTTCCTTGAGACAGGTTTCTTTTTTGATTACACCAGAGTGCGCAAATAAGAGAAAGAGAATCACTTTTTTTAGTACTTAATCAAAGTAGGGCAGAAAGTGAACTATGAACATCAAATTGTTTTGTTAAAGGGTTTGAACAACCGCAGGTGTATCTTCAACACAAGTCCTTTTTCCACAGGCTTAATTGGCCAGAAAAAAAGTGAAATTTCATTCAGTTGCATTGCCTTGAAAGCGGTGAGCAGTCCTCTCAAACTAAAGGAAGGTGAGCAAACCTCTCAAACTAAAGGAAGGTGAGCAGTCCTCTCAAACTAAAGGAAGGTGAGCAGTCCTCTCAAACTAAAGGAAGGTAAACTTTGATGGAAGCATATAAATGTTTGCAGAATAGTGGTATAATCAAAATACTTTAAAAAGTGTTTGGCTTCCGTACGACTCATAAACCGTCTAACTCCCAGAAGTGATTAACATGCATCGTCTCCCTCTGACATCCGTACATTATCCAGCGAGCAGGTAATGAGAATACTCAAACTTATCAGGTAGAAGTTTACATCTTGATCTAACACCAACTCCTCGTAACTATATTACAAGGAACTGTGTAGCAGCTACAAGGGAGAATTAACAATCAGATCTTTGATGAAACGATTACCATTACACACACTTCTAAGTGAAGTTTCCTCCATTAGCTGTTGGTAAAAATTAAGTAATGCATATTAACATATTAACAACAAGAAAATAATATTTCAGAACCGTAAAATACACACGTGATTTGTCGTAAATCTGCGGAAGGCGCCCATAATGTCAGCGGATTGAGCATCGATCGCTGTGGTCGATTTCCAGATAGCTTTGCCCTTGTACAGTCTCTTCATTTCGGTTATCAGTGCTGTGATTACCTCTTTATAACTTTTGAAACTTGTCGTCTAAGAAATAACACAGTGATTTTAGTCAACCGATCAGTTTTTTATTTTAAAGGAATAAAAAATTTCATATGGCCTCCCTGCCATAATGTCGATCAAGTTCCATTGCCAGGATTTGTTTTCGCTTTTCTTTGCGTAAACACAAGATAAACAAATTGAACTGTAACATTAATAAAGATGATTATAAAATCATCATCATTGTCATCAACAACAATGAAGATTGGAAATTGAAGGACGACATGAACACCTTGACATAGTGAGCTCCAGCATTTAACAACAGTGCGCTGTCTTTGTCCATATCTTTCCTAAGGAGCACTTGACGGAAAAAGCCTAAAACTCTGGGAACTTGCAAGTTGACCTCAGCGCATGTTTCTGTCTGTGCAGAAAAAACAAAAAATTAAGGGGGGTAAAATTCACGGCTGGACTGGAAATATTAACAGAACTGTGTTTTGCTTCTGTAAAAGGACAAGCATAAGAGCAGAAAAGTCGTGCAGAGGACACGTTAGCAACCAATACAGTAAAACATTTTTGTCGATGAAGTGTGTGAAAACGCTCCGTCCCGGGCGCTAAGAAAGCTATATGAAAGATGATAAACACGATAACTCTTATTCAGCGCCAAAAGATTCTTGTATTTGGTGATGCTTGTATACGCGAGCATATTAGTCAAAAACTTACCAATTCGTAAAGTGTCTTTGGGTATATCCAGTTATACGTGTTATTGCATTTCTCAAATATTTTAAAGCACAAGCTTTGCGACATGGGAAAATTGAGTGATTCGTAGAAGTAATAGCTCAGCGAATCACCGTAGACCCAGAATACACCTTTACCAACCGCATGATCGTGTTGGCGTTTATATTTGTTTTGCAGAGATGAGAAATCTGTGAACAAAGACCAATATGTTGAGGTTATTATGATTGATCTGTCATATAATGATACAGTGGTAGATCTTAATGTTGTTGTTGAAAATTCGTTAGCAGTGGTAATAGGACTAAGCGAAGTACAATTCAGGGAGTAATCAGGGGAGGGATTTCAAATTTGCCGAGCATAGCACGAGGTTGATTTTAAATTACGAGCACGCTTGCCTCTAAATTGAAAGACAAGTGGCTTGACTACCACTTAATCATAACCATTACAATTTCCTCAAATGTGATTGGTGCATCAGCTGCTTTATATTTCACTAATCTTTCCGTACAACTGTAATCAGACAGTGTAATCGGACGGTTGGCTGTAATAGAACACATGTAATCGAACAGTTGAAGCAGCCAATCATACTAAGTCCACTCAGCTAAATCCACTAATCACAGAATTAATCAAAATAACCATAGCAACAACCATTTAACCTGAAAAAAAAAGGAAATTTCCAAATTTTTTACTTTAGACATTGTCCCTACTGGAGATGTTTGTCCTAAATATATATTCTTTTTTTCGGAAATTGTAGTGGTTATGATTAATTGGTAACAGGACTTGGCGTTGTCCAATTCTGTCTGTAATCGTATTCGTGATTGACAAATCAGACCCCCGCTTTGCGGTCGTCCGATTTTGTTAATCACTCGTATGATTAAAGACCAAATTGGATTCCACTCGGTCCTCCTACCATTATTTATTATATCATTAGAAAAAAGGGAAAAACACAGGAATGACAAATGTAAGAGCACACACACTTCTTATTGTATGGAGATATGTTTATTTTCAACGACGACCTTCCAACCTGCTTGATGAAAAAAAGTTTTTATTCATTTTAATTGGCTCGCATTAGCTTGGAAATTAAATTTTATTGGCTGATGACTGATGGCTGAAAGTGCTGCCTGATTACTTGTAATTGGAAAGGTGAAATCTGACAGTTTTGACTAGAAAAAGCTAGTCGAGTCACGAATAAGGGCTTTTAAGAACCAATCGTTTTCAAGAATTATATTATTTAAAGTAATCCACAAGCGAAGTTCACTCGTAGCGTACATTCGAAATGGACGAATTCATTGTTTAATGAGGCCTCGAATATTAGGCTTGAGCACTTTCTAGAGAACTCATCTCGGCGGAGAAGGCCCTTTTCCTCCATCGCATGATCCTCTAAAGAAACGGACCACATTTACATCGCCTTTCATATCGCCTTTCATAAGCAGTTTTTAGAGTTTTTTTCTTTTTTGGAACTATTTTCAGTTGCATTATGCTGCTTGCTTACCTTCTCCTATAAAATTCATGTACGGTAGCCATTTGTAACCAGTCACCCATCTACCAAAGCCATCCCACACCAGGTTACACTGAATATCACACTCTCTGTCTGCTTGGCGCATGTTTTTCTGAATCTCTAACATGAACAAAGATGAAAAATTATGGACAGTCACAGCACGCTAGACTTATGGTAAAGTTTTCTTGCAAAGGGTGACCGAAAATCTGATGACTGGACATAAGCATCAAACACCCATGTTTAAGGGAAATGTACAATTAAAAGATATAAGTGAAAGGGAGGTTGCTCTTTCTTAAGTTTAAATAACGTCATTTCATATATAAAGTTCATCATGAGTTATACTGTTACATGTATGCGTTACTCTCAATAAATAGAGCTGGTTCTTATTGACATTATTATTATTTATAATTATTATTATTTTCATTCGCATTTTAAAGTAAAAGTTATTTTTGTATTTAGAAGGCTTTAATTAAATTGAACTGCAGCTAAAATTTTTCGCCCAATATAAATAAAAAGTGAATTTCAAAACATTCTAAGAAAGGTATTCTAAAGAGGGGATTTCAACGTACCTATGGTTGTGAGGCGTTGCCATGGGATGGTAAGTTTTTTGGTTTTAGCAGACAACAGAGGTTTGTTGATATATCCAGTCATTTCTGAGAAGAGATTCTTGCCAAGGGAAACATTGTGTAACTTTCCCGAGCAGTGAGCTTAAAATAAATCACAAACAAAATAATGACATGAAAAAGGATGAAAATAAGAGAGTGGAAATTTTATCTATCACTTACATCTACCGCAATTCATGAAATTCGTTAGCATGATTGCAGAGTACTACTTGGTTGGCGAGAAAAATGTCTTAATCGCAAATCCATTCATTGATGTATAAATGAACCGACTAACTGATTTCTTTAGTTTGCTGATGGCGGGGTTTGATCATGCCTATTGTGGCTGTCCACTCTGACCTAGATCGATTTTCGAGGCAAAGGTACTTCGTTTTTGACCATGCATGAATACGTTGGAAGCTTGTAAAGAATGAGACTTAACACGAGCACGGCAAATGGGAACACTGAGAAATCTTGAATATCATCAGCCGTCTTACCAGAGTACCCCAGGAGATTACCCACAAGAAAGGGTCTTCAGCCACAATGTGTTTTCTTTTCAGTTTCGATCAGCTGTTTCTTACCATTTTTAAACCAGTCCATTGGAGGATCAATTAATCCATCACACAATGTATAATCCAGAATCATTTTGATTTTATACTCTCCAGGCTCCATGATAAGAAACAAAACCTCGTATACTCCATTATTGTGATCAAACACGGTCCCTGCAAGGTGTGAGGGCCCTTCAATGTACACTCTCCACGAGTCCCCTCCGAATGTCTTCCGCTGAGCAGTATGCGTGCGGGACTGGACGAAAAACCGACTATATTCCCCTGCGGGCCGGATTTGTAAATCAAATATTTCACTGTGTTCAGGAGACGTTTTCAACCTGAGGCAAAATATTGTCAGTTGGTTGGATAGGCTGATACCATCTGTCCACATTAATTGTTCAAAATATAAACAAAATCATACTGGAGCCATAAATATTTCTAATCAAGGATGTAAGGGTCAGTGAGCCCTACGGGCAACATGTAGGCCAAATCCCTTCTATTATTATTATTGCGAGCAAGACGGTTTGTTAAAAGGTGATAGTGAATGACCTCGAAAAATTTGCTCTTTGGGCCAGTTTTCCTCTGGGGTCAGCAGGATAAGTTGGTGTATTACAAAATCTTGGTAATATTCTCTTGCAATGGTAACCTGATTAAAAGATTCAGCTAAATAAAAGCATGTCAAAACTTTGAGTCAGGCCTTGACTCTGCCTATTTGAGATCTCTTAATCAGTTCTTATCTTATGTTCAATAACAGGGCTTTTTTCCTTACGTGATTCAATAGCGAGTTACCTTTGATATTGTTGTCCATCGTGTCTTCTATAATTAAGGTTCTGACAAGGTTTCTGCAGACGTTCCCAATCCAGTCGCCATTTTCGCTGGCGACACCAATTAACTTTGAATTCTTCGTATTTGGAAGCTCCAGCTCTCATTTGAAATGCAACAACTCGGATAAAAATGAACCATATTGCGAATTTATGTAGCATGACAAACGTTTACAAAACCGAGCGCAATAGCTTACACATGCAGGTAACCAACTGTTGATAATTACAACTTTTACCGCGATAATTTTTAGTTTTGTGTGAAAGTTTAGCAAGCCGGGACTCTGAAACTCTATTTACTGTATTTCCATTGGCCAGGTACATTTACGCTAAAAATAAGGATGACTGAGATTTTTCCGAGTTTCTGTGAATATCTTCATTATTTATGCCTCTCACCTAAAACATTTGGTAAGCCATAATTGTTTTCTCCCGGTAATTTGAACGCCTGACTTCTTTTTTAACATGACATTTTGCAGTAATTGCTTCAATTCTTTTTCTAAACGTTTACAGTTTGTTCAATTTTGTTTTATTGCACATTGTTAAAGTCACTCGCCACTTGTTCTGTGTCAGCTTGTTAGTCACACGACTGAAGAAGAACACCAGCTGAACAAACAGGTGAAAATCTTCAACAGGTAGGCGTAGTTGGTTGAGCAATTTCGTGTTAAAATAACAGAAAATCACGGATTCAAATTGACGAAAAGTTTATAATGACTTTCCTAACGGCCGGAGCAGTAAGAAAAAGGTTAGAAACATTGTTAAACGATAAAATGGTACTTTGAGTAGCGGGCTTTATCTCAGATATTTCTGACAAAGAAATTGCGTGAAACATTGCACTAATGTCGCAAATCATTATATTCTGGGAGAAAGGACTTTCAACTTCGGATTATGTCGTAAGCTCATAAAAGTTTGGGCTCAGGGTGAACTCTCATATATGCCACCATCCCTCCTTGCCTTGTGAACATAATCATGACAATCCTGCTTGAAATGAAAATACAGGACAAAATAGCAATACAACATCAATTGTATAGAATTCTTACTTTGCAGTGTTTTAGAGAAATGCATACTGTATAGGTTATTCATTAAGGTCAGCGACTGTTAGGAAAAAAAATAGTTACCCGCGTTCTTTCTATAAATGTTTTTATAACAAGAGATTATAATATCTTGGCTTATAATGGTCCCCATCTCCTCTCCTATGACAACCTTGCGGAAGCCTTGCACCCCTACCCCTGAGGGGATTTTTAGAGTGTTTACAGCAATCTAATTCATAAATGAGTGAGTGTTGAGTGAAATTGTTTTTTTCGATCACGGCGGTGAATTGGTTCATGGGCCAAATGGTACGTAGACGTTGACAGCAATTCAACCTGTTTGTGAGTTACTCTTAGGTTCGTTTTTTTTTTTGCTCAATAGTTTCTTGATAACACCTTGTACACACAGTCAGAGGCAATGAACTTCTTTTTGCCCCGGGGGGGGGGGGCACATGATTCGAAAAGTTGTTCACAAACTCGCGGTCGATAATTTTCTCTGGTTTGCGACAAACCACTTCTTCATTTCTCCATTTTTTGCGAGGTGGCTAAGAGTAGGAATTGGATTCCCGACTACTTGAGAATCGTTAACTACGTATATGTACTCAACATTCGAATACTGTTTAGGTTTGTAATAACTTATTATACGAGAATATTGGATAACATTTAAAGCCTCTTTAAGAATAGAATGGATACCGCTAATCGTCAGTTTTTATTCAACTTTTCTTTGGTTTGGAGATTGGGCACTTTCTGGGCTTGTTTTCTTTATATCAAACTCCCCTTGAATGGGGGATAAGTTTCTAAAGAAACTGTGGTGCTGCGTCGACCACCCAATCTTGAGCCCAATGGGCTAACCAGCAGTGACCAGTGCTAAACCAACTCTGCAGTTAAATGTACTTGTAATCGATGGAATATCGAAGTTTCATTTTTAATTGTTCTTAACTGTTCCCATTACACGTTGGTACATTTTGAAGTGCTATTATGATCGTTTCTGCTCCATGTATACTTTTCACCTCAAAAGTCGTTTATGATGAAAAACACTGATTATTCTATTCCAATTTAGCTGCAAGATACTTCCTCCAAGACTATTTTAAGTAGCTTTAGCAGTGAATTGAACACAAACACTAATACTATTTTTTTTTATAGTTTATACGTCCTCTAAATTAATTTCACCTACATACTAGGAAATTTCAATTTCATTTCAGTCTGTAATCAGTCATTTCAACTATTTATGTCATCTATTTGACCTTGTACATAGATTCTCCTGATTAATTCTCTATCAATCATCTCGGTATACCGTCTGTAACAGCCTCATCTAGGTAATATATTTACTTTAGCGTCGGTCGCTTGCCCATTTTCCAAGTTTTTTTGCTGCAGAGCTCTTTGTGACTTGCTTACTTCGTCCTTCATCCTCAGAGCCGAGATCTTCAACCTTGGAGAATCTTACAGTATCATATTTCTCCATGTTTATTGGTTCCAAATACGTCTGTAAATCAATGCAATATTTGTCATTCTTTGCTGAAAGGAAGGTAGAGAGTAATGAACGAAAACTTCATTTAATGACGTAATTGTTCAACTGTAAATGTCTTCAATATCTAATAATTTGACAAACTTTCCTGAAAACTCAGACTAAAAATCAAAGACCGATGATTTTTGACAAATTTGATTGAACGAAAGAAGACAAAATTTACAGTGAGTGTATAATTACTGTATATATCTGTGATTGGTCATAGATTGTATCATACTTAAAATCTGAATTCAAGTGCGGCTAAAACGGTTTTAGATTTAAAATGGCTGCCAGAGACTCCTTGACTTTTATGAAAAGGAGATAACTTCAAGAAAAATAAAGAAAAGCTTTATCGCTCCGAAAAAAAACAGAGTAATTGCTCTCGTTATATCACAACAACAAACCTCATTACGAAGATATTCATCCATTCTTTGACGCAGGATTTCAAACGGGGGACGAAATTCAGGGCTAAGATTCCAGCACCTTGTCATTATATCATACCTGAGAAAGATTTGATTATTCATCACTTTTAAAATTTTATAATAGACGATAAGAGCTGCACAACTTGGTTTTAAATAAAGCTACGAATCTAACACTGAAAACTGGGTACCTCATTATCAGCAGGAAAGATTGTCGTAAGGTACGTGTGATAGCACCTCAGCTTCACCTCGGCTACACTTCGACTGCATCTTCATTGCAGCATCACAACTGTACCTCAAAAGCGGGCGGTGTGCGCACTCCGATTGCGTTGCATTGTGGTAGCTTCATTTTCAATATGGCGGTGAAAGCAGCAGACATCGGTAGATTTTGACTGAACATTCCGTAAAAGTTAGGCCGTTTCTTTTTCTTTTCACCATAGGTAAATTTACTCTGATTTATTCTGAATTTGTAAAAGTAATTTTTTACGTATTTGTCGCACCGGGTAAGCCGGAAAGCAAAAAGCAGTCGATCGTTAAAAGGTGCAGATATGCTTGTGCGACTCCTGCCACTCGCTTGCGCTTTTAAATCTTGTGACCTGAAAGCTCACCAGTTATTAGGATATCTTTTAACGACTCGTTTGCGATGTGATAATAAGGGATTATTTTTAAGGTGTCATTTCCCCATCTGTATGTTCTTGAGGTTTGGCATAGCCGGATGAGATTGTGTTATAATAAGTATTGTCATATACCAAGACTTTCACTCAACAAAACGAGCACTGTGACTGGTTGATTCATGGTAATGTGCTCCTGATCAAATTTAAATGTATCCCGAACAGGACACAATCGCGCAGTTTGTTTTGCCTCGAATCCTAATAATCCCGATGTTTCCTGAGACGTCGAGGGAAACATCAGGACTCTCGGGAAAACAAAACTGTTCACCTCGGAATCATACGTTAAGAATGTAATATTTTCATGTGTGCGCGCTATTTTTTTTTTTTATTTTCAAGTATACTGTCTCTCCTGCAGAAAATTACTCCAAAGACACGTTTCTCAAGACCTTATTCCAGGTATTCTCTATTCTTTAGGCATATTTGAAACTATGTACGTTTTTCATTAAACGTTGAGCGTGACGAATTTGGTCTCGGGAGGCGTAAGGCCTCTCCTTTGGCGAATCCCGTATTCACGCCTTTAAGTGTATGACATGAAAAATAGTTCGTGCATTTGAAGGTCGCTGTCTCTTTGTAACCCGTTTGCATGTCAAGGGTCGATTCCCCGTTAAATAACTCGCGAATTTGATATTATTCACACAGCCATTGGCTGTGAGTGTAACTGCTGCCAAATGAAAAGATTCTTGGGCAAGGCTGCAGTTTTCGTTCTTTCTGAATCTCTTCAGTTACCTCCTAACAACGAATTTGTCACGGAAGAATGACAGGAGTCGCGTAGGACCGCAAAAAATTTTTTGACTTTCGAAGGAACGGTAAAAGACAGTGAATCCCCACTACATTCCACGTTGATTTACGCTATCTTGCTGCCACCAGAGATGTTCACTCGACCGCGACAGGATGCAAATGACTCGCTTTTCGGTTTACGACTATGATGCAACTCAGTAACAGTGCGCACACCGCCTGCCTCAAAAGTATCCCACAGTTACAGTTTCGCTGCATCTCAACTGCACTTTAAGCGCGCTTTGGCTGCATCTTTTCTAATTAAGTTGCAAGATGAACGGTCCTCAGTGATATCTTGGTTTCACTATGACTAAAGCTCATTAAATGGGCTTAGCTCCGCTTGTACTTCAGTTACGTTTTGACTGTTCCTGACCTAGATCGTACTTGCTTGCGCTATGGCTTTGTAATGACACTACTTGTGGATCACAGTCAGCTGCTCCTCAGCCGCACCACATTGAAATTTCGTGTGATAACGGCTTGAAGAAGAAACAACTTAATTTTGGTGAGTTTCCTCTTTACATAAAACTTGAAATTTCACTTACTGAAAAAATGTTACCACCTTGATGTTGATTGAAAATGGAACACCAAACAGATTATTAAATAGTTCAATAACTAATTAATAAGTTCAAGTATAAAAATATCTTACAGTTGGTCATCAATATGTGTAGGCCTTGGCATTTGATATCCATTTGTGACTTCTGCAACCACTCTCCCTTCTGACCATCCCTGATACGAAATTCCTCCGTCAATGAATTACAGAAGCGTGTAAGTTACATACTAGTGTAATGTTAAATGAAAAATTCTCGTACTCGCATCATTTACTCGACACAAACTTTTTGTTTAAGGTAATACCAGAGCTGTGCTCTCTCAGAATATCGAGGGTACCTCAGTGGGGATGTGCTGACCTGGAGAAAGCCCAATGTTACCGTTGGACTCCTGCGGCTAGTTACTTACCAATAGTGAATATCTCATACAGAACAATTCCATAGGACCACCTGTAGAAAAGCATTGTTTATGAGTGGATTTACAAAAAGGAAGCCTACTCTATTCGCTCAAAAAGGTACAATTTGGATATCGAAACGGCGAAAAAACTTCAAGCAAGAAACCCAAAGTCGAAAACCCACAGTGCTAGGCTTTTTGAAAGGGTTAACTGCTCATAATCATTTTCAAAGTTTTTTCTTCGTTCGATATGTCGTTGTATAATCGGTCCGTATAAGGACTCATATGGCATGCCCTAGTACTAATATAACGTCAGTTGCAGACCTAATTATAAGTGAATGTAGATGTCTTCCCATAAAATGCGAGAATTGAACAAATATGGGCAAAACCATGAGTAAGTCTGATGTTTTAAAGACAACGATGAATAGAAAAAGAGATCAATTGAGCATGAGGAAGCTAAGGTATTCTTTAAGATATTACAGAACACAGTATTTACTTTTTTGGAACGAAGAAAAAGTGAGTAAAATATCATGACATGCAGTTACGATTAAGTTGGTACATACACGTCACTGAGAGGTGATAGTTCAGAGATATTTCCCAATAAAATCTCTGGTGCAGTCCACTTAATTGGCATACGGCCCTAAAACAATCAAATAACAACAAAGAGAAAAAGAAAGAAAAGAAAAATGAAAAAAACAAAAACAAAAACAAAAAGCAATTAAAAAGAGAAATATCTACAGACGAAAGAGAAAATTGTACGACCCTTATGAAAGGTATTAGCGTTGTCTAAACAAATTCTACCTAACGGAAGCAAAAGAGAAGTTAAAATTTTGGTCAAGGCTTTGTTTTTCTCTATTATTTCGTCTTCCTTTTTTAGTTAGTTTTTTGTTTTCATCCCTTTATCGTATTTTGCATGTGTAGCTGGGAGAAAAATGTGTAAATTAAAGAATTTTCGATAGTGTTTATAGCTTGAATTGAGTTTGGTTTTTCAACACTCAATTAAAAATTGCTCTAAGAATGCTCTGAGATATTCATATAATCGAGCAGGTTAAGTCTTCTGTTGAAAATTCGAGATTGAATAGTGAAAGGAGGCCATATAGCTCCCACCATGAGGGTTTTTGGTCCTAAGTAACGATTATATTAATGCTGTTTCTTTTAACTTTCTCTTCCAAATTTCACTAAAAGCAGAACTTTCCACTGGCACTTTAGAAGTGCATTTTGGACAATCTTCTAGACCAGCTGCAGTCAAGAGCTCTCTTTTAGCTGATATATCATAGCATTCGGTTAACATCAGTGTAGTATCAAATAGCTAACAGAAGACCTCATATACCTTTTTGGCATTTCCATGACCATACTTGAAGCTTTGATAAGCCATACCAAAGTCAGTCACCTTACAAACATAGTTGTTATCGAGTAGAATATTTCGAGCTGCTAGGTCACGATGAATTATCTGCAAAAAATGTAAAGGTTCGACACGTATAAGTTCTTATCTATTTCAAAAACGGTGTAATTTCGACGAGAATCATACCCAACATGTAAAAAACCAAGTATCAGAATAGACATTACACGAACTTACATGAGCTGAATTTAAGATTCAAACTACGCTACTGTGACAAATATTTGGCGAATCGTTCACTCACCCCTCTTGATCCAAGAAAGACCATGCCAGTAGCGATTTGTTTGGTAAAGAGGACAAGGTCATAAGTTTCTAGTTTCTGAGCCATGTTTCCTCCACGATAATACTTGTCAACAAGTCCTCGGCTCTTCCTCAGAAAGCCCAGTAGGTCCCCAAAAGGCATGATTTCCATGATGAGAATTGGATGAACTGAAAGTAAGGTAAAGAGATCGATGGGAACTTTGTAACTTGCTGCCAAAGTCTTTTTTTTGTCATGTTCCAAAATAATGTTCGTTATGATATTTGAGAGGGCAAACAAATATTTTCATAAACACTCAGTCGAGTTTTATAAGGAATCACAGAATACAATTATTCACCTTGCGTAGTAACGCAAGGTGAATAATTGTTTTCTATAGTGTGGGGTTGAGGTGGATGACACAAGCCAAAACGTTGAAAATTCTTGCGAGAGTGATACCATATCAAGCGTCAAGTTCAAATCACGAGTCAGGTTCGAGTCAATTCAAATTGTTTCAGCTTTTAGTTTTTTTGCTGAATCCAACATAAAAGAACGTGCTAATAAGCGTGCTGAGTGTTTTTACTCCTACTGGAGACTCTTCCTTTCACTTCTACATGATAGATAACTATTGCCAACGTGTTTGGCAACACTGACACGAAATGATAGTTTTGATTTACCTGTTACATGTACACCAATCGAGAAACTAGCCTTAGCTATCCCAGCATGGTTTTTGGCAGTACATTCATAAATGCCTGCATCCTCGAAAGTTACATAGCTGATAACCAAAGTGTTGTTGTTATCAAGTCGCTCTCCATTCTTGGTCCAGTTGATCTTTACTAGTGGGTCGCCCCTCTCAAAACAATGTGTTGCAAAAGCAGAGTTCAATGCAATGGAACGGTTCTTGATTTCGGGATTAAGTTGAGGTGGTACTAAAAAGTTAAAGCGAGAAAGTTTCTCTAGGCTTGGTATGTTTCAAGTCAGGATCCCAAGTGAAAATATTGACATGATGTGAGATAGCGTGCGAAGATAAGAGCGTGTGTATCTCCAACATTACATGCAGCTCGCCTTCCAGGTTACGAGAGCAACAACAAACCACCTTAAATTTGTAATATCCAGGGCTATGAGTATTAACACCCATTGTTTGTTGTTACCTGGTTCAGAACGAGCTATGAAATTGCATGAGGTCGCGTCGGCGTATACTTACTTTGTGTAAGTTTACACCATCGTACATTTTAGCATCAATCGATTTAAAATACGTCCACTACTCAGTCCCAATTGCAGAGGAAAACTGTAAATATTCATGGTTCGACTGCAAGATTCTACAGTATCGATGCAATCCCACGCCAAATGAACTCTCATCTGCTCCTAGTTGTTAACTAAGTTGTTAAACTTGTATTATATTATTTGCAACCTAATTCCAAACATTAAAGCGAAACATTACGCCTGACTGACCGGTCAGGATTATTATTAGGTGTCCCTTACTGGAACTTCCTCATCTTCATTCCAAAACTAAACTTGATATGCAACTGCTAAACTCTTTATTACGGTTACCTTGGACTTTGACATAAATGCTGTCACTGGATGACCCTCCGGAGTTGACCGCTTCACAGGTGTACCTCCCTTGGTCTTTTGTTGTCACCCTGGTCAGACAAATAGCGTTGCTCTGTCCTCTAAGGGTACCATATTTTGTCCATCGTATTTGAGACTCAGGGAAACCTGCATCAACTATACAAGTCAAGTTAACACTGTCTCCTTCTCTGATGGTATTGTTTGGTATAATAACATGAATTTTCGGGAGAGCTAAGAAGAGAGAGGAAATAACAAAAACTGAATGCTCAACTAAACTCTTAGACTTTCATTTCACAACAGCCAATCATTTTCATCCATGTATTTATTTATCACTTTTAAATCTTTATCGTGTGACGAATTAATCCTTCCAAGTCAACTCAATTAGAAATCTCTGTAAAGTAAAACTGGTACAGAACCCGTGTCTACCACTAATTGGTTGAGCACAAGTAACAAACGTAGGAAACAATTCAGTATTTGACCTGCTATTGAGGTAAAAAGTGCCTTATTCTAATCTAATCACATTCTTATACACATTTTCCTACCATAAATTTGATTGCAATTAACTTTATAAACATCTCATTTACAAGTACAGGTCAAAATATCATTTCAGAGGTACTGTGGTTATTAACGCTGCTCTTCTTACAGTTTTGAGAGCACTTTAAGAGTTATTTGTTGTTTTGAAGAATCTTAGACTTGAAAAACATTGGTCTGGTAACATCACTTTCGCTTACCCTAATCTATTGAAAATGAAAGAATAATGCTTTCAGTTATCGTTATCATTTTTTGGCCCAGCCGATGTATTTTGTCATTAAATCGAACTTGAATAAACTTCAAATCTGATTGAATGTCGCTGGAGCTTCACGGTTCAAAGAATACGATTTAATTGATGGAGGATAAATTTTACAGCCTGTAAAAAATTTGTACTACTAAATGTAAACAAAAAACGTTCAAAATTTGAGAAATTCTCCAAGTAATATTGTTTCAAAGTCCCTCGTCTATTTTTTATGGTAGGGTGTTGAATGGCACTATGTAGGGAGGTAGATCTCGTTCATGGTAAACGTTCCCCACCAAGCCATAGTTTTATCACACTAATTCTCTCATAAGTCTATTTTGAACAAAGTGGACGCGCCACATTTGAATTCATCTGATGATTAGTTTGATTAAACGGGATTTGATCTGAAAGAAAAGTCTTACTGGGTTGACACAACGCTTGAGCTGCTTTGTAATCTTTTCGACACAGTTCAGCAGACACATTAACATCTCTTTTGAGATTTTCATCAGTACGAGGACATGATGCCAGTTGAGGTTCACTTCCTGAGCAGGCTACATCAGACATTACAAACGGAATTTCATCTTCCTTCACATCTGAGCCAATGAACTCAGCCAGAGCATCTTCGAAACCGAGTTGACGGCAAATCACTTTAACATCATTGAAGTCCCATGCATTACGGCAGATCTTTCCCCATTTCCCCCTGAAAAATACTTCTACTCTTCCACCGTAGTCCACATTTGCTCCATTTAGGCGAACTTGAACTTTATAAATGAAGATGTCGCTTATTAGAACAATAAATAGTAATAAAAAAAGCCGATACATGATCTCAAGAAAATTTTTCTCTGGGTACATTTATAATACATATTTGCCCCAAAAGGAAGGCAGTCGACAATTTGACTTAAGGTTTCCGCACGAACTTCTCCCAATCACGTCGAAGACTTCGCATCTAGTTATTTCCCTACTGTATCTCGTTACCAACGGAAAGCTGAGGATCTCTAAAGATCGGCTAAAGATCTCACGGCCATACTGTAATACAAGAGCCACTGATCGCATTGGACAGGACAGTGATTGCTTCTTAGATTGCACGTGATATCGGTTCTTTTAAAAAGAAACACAATCTTCTAAAGGGGACCTATATGTAAATTATTTCTTAGAGAGGAAGAAGTGTGAAGATGACTCTGCTGGATTTTTTCTTCCAATGAACCCAAACGGTAGCAAATGACTATGACGAAGGGCTAACACTCAAAACGTCATCTTTGAAACTCTTCACGGTAGTCAGTTTACGTTATCAACTCAGTTGATATTACTAAATTACCCCTCATAATAGATACCTTGGCAGAACTGCAATTTGCTTTCCAGCTTTTCCTCACAATTGGTCAACTTGATGCAATTGTAATGCATGTATGTGTTTGTGGTATCCTTGTTTTTTGTTTCATGAAATGAACAGTTTTCATAAAAAGCATTTTGGTGGTAGCCCATTGCCATACACGTGAGATTTTCTTTAACTTTATCCCAGCCATTGCCAGGTGTTGTTTCTGTAGATTTCCATCACCCCGAGAGATGGAATCCTCTCTGTCTTAAATCGCAGAGTAAATGCTGATGAAAGATATCAAATGTTTTATTAATCATCAAGTAAAGAGTTCTCATCAAAGAATTCCTTACGGGCATTCTGTACAATTCGAACACTGCTACAAGTAGAAATCTTCGTCATTTTGCAAGTACCTTCATGACAACTGGACGTGTTGCTACATTCCCATAACAACTGCTCTGGTTCCATTGCAATATTTTCCACCAAACGCCGGTTCTGGATTGGAACACTCTCTAGTCCTTGTTTGTATACCATTGACCGTTTTAGAACACAGACTCCAGGAGTTCCATTTGCTCCAACCACCATCAACTTTTAAATATGATGCAAAATACGAGACAAATATGTACAAAGTCTAAACTTGTAAATACAATATTAAATGACATTCCTCGAGTCTCTCGGTTTTTTTTTTTTATAAAATGCGTAATGAAGCATTAATCGAAGGTGGTAAACAAGTCTAGCTAAGGACTCTCTGGCTGCACAAAAGGTTAATATCGATATATAATGTTTTCATCAATGACTTATTATAAATAAGGAACGCCAAAATGCAGTAGCATTGTAATTGCGCTGGGAAAACAAGTTATCTTACTTGGACAAACTTTTGCATTGCACAATCTGATCTCGGAAAATGGCTCTTGGCAATTGCTTGAAGGAGTCTCGCCACAATCCCGATAACGGGTTTGGAATCCAATGCCACAAGTCACGGTACAGCTCTCCCACGGCCCCCACGGACGCCACCGTCCTTCAAATGAATTTGTATTTGAAATTCAGTTTCAATAAGAAGTAGCGAGAAGGAGAATTTTCATAAAAAGGTTTTTGAACTTGGAGGAAAGATTCGGAAGCTTCAATTTTTCATGCTTTTATTTCAGATCGGTCCCATAGTGACGCCTATACTTTTTTGAGTACCGGTATAACAGTTATCTAATGTGCCCTCAAGAAATGGAACACAAGAATATGCCCCTCCAATTTTGTCAGTTAAATTCAATGGCTAGCAAGGTGACGTCAAAAACCTTTACAAGTTTCATGAAATTTTGCATTTCATGTAAAGAAGAAATCATAGTAAAAATGTAACTATATGGTTTGAAAGCATATATTGCTTGCAGAAGACGTTGAATTATATTCAGTTGACTTATTTCTCATTTCAAAATGTTCCTCCTCGATTATTGTATTTTAAGTTTTCTAACAGTTTCAATGGATCTCGGTTATCTCATTTGCACAGCACTTCAGGGTCTATTTTAAAAGTTTTGCTCTCAGAAAAGTGGAAGGTGTGCATGAAAGAGGACCTTTAGTTAGTCCACTGATAATTTAAGTTTCTGTGTCAGTAAGAAGCAGCGGGAGAGAAAATGTCCGGCAAATGACCTCTATACTTAGATGAGAAATGAACCAGTAGAGATAAGGTTAGGATTAATAGTTTCAATTTCACGTGATTTTAATTTTGAGATCAGTCGTATAGTTTCGACTTAGTTTTCTGATTCTTAATAAAAAAGCTAATGGCTAGCTAATTCAATTTTCCACCATTCGTTAATTACTATGACTTTTCTTTTTATTTTGTTTGTTTCATTTTTTTCCTAACGATTTTTCGCCCATAGCCTTAAAGTTGTCGTCCCAATCTCTATTTGCGTCTGTGATTTCATTAAAGTTTACCAGACGGGTAGGGTCTCATGAACCTTGCCCTGAGCGTTTGTACGGATTGCTTAAAGAGCTACAAGCGTAAAAATTCACACTTCTCCTTCATTCATCCCATGAAACCCTAAATATGCCCTGCTTAATAGAGTTTAGAATGCGGGTTTATTCAAGGCGTGAATTGCCGTCAAGGTTACCAGCTGCAGGGACATTTGTGAGTGCAAGTTTTCCTGGTTTTCGGGCACTTTCCAAACGCTTTTCTCGTGCTTTTCACAAGCGGTGGATTTTCACCTTGTAATAAAAGGCAAAAATGTTTTGAAAAAGACCACAAAATTTGCCTCGAAACTTCGCATTTGCCTTTGTAGCTTCACTTCTTGGCTAAATATTAATTTCTCAGCTGTCGTAAGGGGTTTAGTTAGTAAATAACTATGTTCATATCAATTTTAAGTTACTTACGTCTTCGCCCTGATTTGATCCCAGACGTCCATGTAGAAGTAAGATACAAATCAAGTATTAGTGACTTTTCCCAATTATCCATTGGGGTATTTCTGGCTCCTATGCAGACATGTGCTCAATAATGAAATTAAAGTTATCTGCTCATAATAAACCTTAAGATATTTACTTACCTATCCTTATATTTAATGGCTCTGATTTGATCCCAGATGTCCAAGAAAAAGAAGAAACAAATCAAGTATTAATAAAAATACAGCTTCTTACAATTAATGGTAAACTCGTCATTTGATAGGATAGTGTGCAGACGAGCTGATCAGCATTATGACTGACCAGCTTAACTTTTTGTTAGGAAATGTCACTACCTTTCAAATTTGTCTGACCTCAATGGATAACAGATCTAGCTTTTATAAATATGCTTTCTTGCAATAGAAATCACAGCTTTGCGTGTGCCGAAGATGCGTCAAAGTTCACCGCTCTCCCTGCTCTGTCTAATAAGGTTATTCAATTAGACCTTGACTTAAGCATCAGAATATTTTTTGCGCTTCCTATAAGTCAGAACTGGCCATGAGTCACTAAATGTGATTGGAATAACACATTAATGTTGACATACCTGCATACTGATTGGCAAATGTAACGAGTACGAAGAAGAAGACCAGCTTACAGCAAAACATATTGATATTTGCCATGGCTGATATAAGCGATCCTCGCAGCTATGAACACGGAACTAGTAATTGAAATGAAAAAAATTCAGGCCTGTACGGGATTTGTAGTGAAGCCAACCCTTGGTGAATAATGACTGGAAACATATGAAAAATGCGGTGAAAATTGGGAAATGTATGACCTAAAAGTATTTCAGTTTTATGAAATGTGTGGATTGAAGCTTAAGTTTTTCTGGATTAGTCAATCCGGCAAATCATGCGTAAAACTGAGCGATGGTTGATGGATCAGATTTTGGCATAAAATTTATTTATGCAGTATCTGTCTGGCTAAATTGAGGAAAGTGCATCAACTCATCTTTGTTAGCAGACGTAGGCTTTCATTCTCAACTTGATTTGAAAAAAGTAGATCACTCTCGATTAAGGTTGCACAATAAAACAAGAAAAAAAGAAAGAGGAAAGAAAAGAAGAGGAAGCAAAAACCACAAATAAAACACGAGGAACAAAATTGAAAAATTAATAGGAAGTCTTTATGAACTGACTATGGGGCAAATGGAGTTCCTGCCTTAGACGTAGCACTGTGAGTCAATGTAAAGCAGAAATGTCTTTAAAAACTGCCCTGAGACTATCAGCATCATTAATCTAGTTGATATTACCTTTCGATGTCCAGTTCTTTTTGTTCATCAAGGAAAATCTTTCTCAGCATGCACTTAGCACGGTACAATTAAAAGGAAATTATCTTTGTGATACCAAATTTGCATAACATGTTCGGACCTTTTGTACAGTGCAGACACTAAACATACAATATGCTGTCTCCTTAAAATTACTGTAAAATTAAAAATGGCCCGTTTCCAGTTGTTGGTATTTTTTAGACACACAGCTACTGACAGACCACTCCATTCTCTGACAATAGTTATCAATAGCAAAATTTTACGCCACAGGTGTGTCACTTGTGATGAAAAAAAGGAAACTGACGGAATATTTCGTTAAATTTGTTTTAATTGAACTGAGAATGGATTTAAGTCCTGATAACAATTGCCAACAAATTTAAAAATTTTCAAAGAATTAGTGATACGAAATTTTTATATTCTGAAATTTTTTTACGCGTCTACGCTAGCGCATCGACAGCACTAATGTATCGCGACCAAAATTTCTTTATGAAGTACAAAATAGCGGTACCTTTTTAAATTTTAACTCGCGAGCACCTGTTCTGTCCCTTTGAATTTAGATCACGAGTATATTAATTAACGGCGGTAGAACAACTGTCAAAAACAATGCTCGAAAAAACTGTCTGCCTGTTTTCAATCAGCTTGCACAAAACGTTGATAGATATCCTTATTTAGTAATTTTTTGGTTTCTTTTTATAGCCAAAAACTGCATAAGTTTTCTTCCCTCTCGAAATAAATTTGTCTTTTTTCGTAGGTAGGAATCGAATTGGGACTCAAAGAAGTGTTAAAGGGATACAGTGTGCGACAAATAATTAGCGGAAGTGTCATGGATTTAGAGGAATCATTCTTTTCAAATAGAAAAAGATGACGTTAGCAAAATTGTGCCAGAGAGAAATCTAGCACTGATCAGTTCTCTCCAGTCGCTAGTTACCACAAACGACATCTTCTGATGATGTTCTCGGTAGAGGTGGTATAATAATCATGCCTCACAAAAACCTCTCTCCGTATTCTGCGTTGTTGACATGCAGGTCGTATTAGGAGTGAGTGTTAAATTCATTCTTGAGAATAGCTAACGTATTAGCTGCGTGGCAGTTGACAGTCCACAAGCAAGCAACCATAAAAAATCCAGTCCCCACCGACACACGTTGCAGTCTGTTCTTCCATAGACCGGCAGAAATGATACCAATTTCTTGATGGGTGCACGTTTCATGATACGGCATGATACCTGTACAATGTAAAGCTATCAATAACCTCTCGATGGATTAGCTTACTGCAGTTCCGCTTTGAGCCAGGCCAAAAGGTAATTACTATACTCAAGGACTACACGAAACAGGTTCATAACCAGCACTAATCGTTCTAACCGACTTTTTAAGCCAAACGTTTGATTCGGGAGCATATATGTCGGAGAGAGGTTTTTACTGGTAGTATGAAAAACGTTCTTTCGTCCAAAAGAGTTACATTCACTATAGTTATCAAAATTAATGTTTGGAAAGTGATCTT